TTCAAACTATATATATGTAAATTTGCCATTAAGTTAATTTGTAAATTTTATATATATTATTATTTATCAGTGAATTCAAACATAGAAACCGAAGATAACGATAACAATGATTCGATTTTAAAACCAAATTATGACTTTTTCAGTTTGCAACATTAAAATAATATAATTTTAAATATAGCCATTTTCTTTCATTCTAGAATTTTATCAAAATTGGACTACTATTTCATAGAAGCGATCGTAAAATCTAGAAAAAAAATGCAAAACTGTGAAACCGTAAATATAATAAATGTAAATGTAAATGTAAATGTAAAATAACATATGTATATACAATCAATAATGTATTAAAAATTAGTCATCGAATTGCAAAATGCAATGGTATACAAATTTCGCAGTGCCGATGTTAATTTCCTTTTTTGTTTTTGTTATTTTAAATCGATATTTATTTATAAAACTAATATTTGTAAGCTCAATTATTTTTACCAATTTAGATTTGTAAATAAAATTTATTTTTAGAAGACAACAGTTTTGTTTTCCTTTTTCAAAATATGCTAAGTACCTTTGGTAAATCTTTAAATAACATACAGTGTTTTTTACCCTTGCAGGGTGTTATCATTTTAGTCTGAAGCTTGTAACGCTGTAAATGGGCATTTCTGACCCTATAAATCATATTTTATTGATCAGCATCAACAGCCGAGACGATTTAATCATCCCCGGCAGAAAAAAATAACCAATTTTCGCCAAATTTGGTAATGGGTTATGTTACATCATTGAAATTAAAAAAAAATTTAATATTTTGAGATTTCATATTTTTTCTTTGAGTATATAGACTTATTACCAGTATTGACTTTTTAGCATAGTTATGGATTTTTTAACTTTGATTTGTAAAAAAAATTATTATTAAAAAATCTTGACCAAAATTGATTTAAAGAAGCGAATATTTTAAGCCTTGTTATCACTGATTTTCTTTTTAATCCTATAATTTAATAGCAAACTGCAAAGGTAAATAACGTCCGCTTCCCGAAAATAGTTTTCTTGTTAAATATTAAAAAAGAAGGATTTGGGTGAATCACCTTGGTTATGTCCTTAATTAAACCTTAACCTTAACTCCCATTTAGAAAGTGAGTAAATCAAATATTTTATATCTTAGAGAAATAATGTTTATTTATTTAAAAGAATATATGTAAGTACCGCCTTTTCCTCATTTCCTTTCTCGAATCATAAGAATCAATTCTCCTGTGTGCGGAAACAGAGATGCACATGCATAAGAAACTGCCCCAAAATGCGGCATTGGAGTGCAAGTCACAGGACATTTCCCCCTCGTTGCTCTCAGTCACACGCCACACGTGCACCAAGTACCACCACCCCCTGTGCGGTACTCATCTTAAACCTCGTTAAATTCAGCACACAGTGTCCAGAATGTGACGGCAAATGCATAAATTAAAATCGCACATAAATTTTGCCATAAGAAACGACACCCAAGAAGGACAACGACGGCTCTGACCCCATGACAACCCCTGAAACTTCTAAGTAACCGGCACTTCCGCCCACAACCTCCTATTCCCACCTCCTTGTTCCCTCCCCCGCTTGGGTGAAATGCGTACTCGTAATTTGTGCTTATTGTGCAGTCCGTTGGCCAAGACAGGCAGGAGAGCGGTGGGGTTAATGGGTGCTGTCCTCTTGAGACTGGAGACTGGAGACTGTGCTAAGATGCACACGAAGTCACAAAAGAACCGGTCAGCGGTGGCCGTTGCACCCCTAAGCATGTATTCATACACGGAAAATATATTTCTTATAAACAATCTATACCAAAGGGGAGATTTTAGAAAGCTTAGAAAAAATACATAGAAATGAATCATTGAAATATGTGAAGGATATAGTAAATATTGCTAAAAAAAAAAATAACTATTTGAAAATTCATAATCTTTCCGTTCTTGTATTTTTAAAAAGCTCACAAATATGCTAGAAATATTTTCAGCACATGAATATGAACTAAATGACCTATCAGCATCTAGATTTAGACTTACTATCATCATTCGAAATTTTAAATCTATTCGCTAAGAATGCACAAGTAAAACTGCAATTAGGTTTTACTTCTCCTGAATTCAGTTTAACAATAAATATAAGAATAATAATTAACAATTATCTTATTATATTATTAGATATATTGATCGGTATATCGAAATAGAATTAAAGGATTACATTTAGTTATAAGTCCAAAAGTTTTTGAACATTGTTCCTGAGAAAGCAGTTAAATTTATAATTTAAGCTTTGATATATTTATTATGGTATTTTTAAAGTATGTTTAAAAAGGGTGTACTTGAAGCTGCTTTATCCGAAACTACTACCAAAATCGAGACTTTCAGTTGTAAAAAACAACAAAGATAAAGGTTTAATTGCTACTTACAAACGAACTTCAAATTGACTTGATAATTTTAAAGTATTTACTTGAATATATGCTCATTAAGAAATCGAAATACAAGTATTTCGGATTTAATTACAATAATAATTTTGAAAATTTTAACTAGATGAAATCCTTTAAAAGAAGAAGTACAAACTCTCTTGCATTATAATCCCCAAAACGATCGAACAACAATTAAATAATAAATTATAAAACATATAACAATGTTAAATAAGTATTCTTAATAAATAAGTATATATTAATAATACATAGAGATCTCTATGAGAGCTCAACATTAATTTTATTTTGTTTTGCGAAATACATGGGACAAGAAAATGATCAATTAAATCTTAAGACAGCACTATAATAAATTTAGATTCATAGCCTGAGATATACCCCAAGTTCTCTTCGAATTTCTTTTCTGTTGTCTCTCTGTAAAGACGATGCAGCGTACGATCTCTGTGTGTGTTTGTGCTAATATTGAGGTAGGCCGATGCATTGGTCGCCGATGTCGCGGGGAGGGGGTGGGATTCGGCGGGGAGGGAGGGCGGAGGGGCCAGGGGTCGCAACTTGCACTCATCATCAACTCAAACTCAATCAGCGGCAACAACAACAGCAGGAGCGGCTGCATCCAGCATCGCGAAGTACGTGCTGATGTGTGCGTGTGCGAGTATCGTGTGTCGCTTTTGACATTTACTTTATGTATTCTTCGCATGTAATGAGGTAAGTGAGGAATGCAGGGGGGCTGACGGGGCTTATGTACGCGAAAGCGATGCACGCACATTCGCACATACATACATACATATGTATGTGCTGGGCCGTTAATTATATACTTTACACGACACTACCACACACGCACCAGCACCTCACACAGATACAGGCGGCAATTTTAATGTACAACAAAAGTGCATTGTCGCTGCTGTGTTGTTGTTGTTGTTGTTGTTGCTGCAGTGTTAAATTGTGTGCGGGTAAATAGGTGGACACCCGCTCTATGTACAGAGCGACAGCCACCTATATACACATATTTCATAGTTGTATATACAAGCTTTTAAACCGCTTTGTTTAACAGCGAGTGTGGAAAAAAAGAGTATATTTTAATTATTTTTTTCACGCACAAAAATGTGTGTAATATCGCGAGAAAAAAGAAGCCCCCCTCGCTGTACATGCAGCTACCATAGGCATAGAAGGGTTTGATTTGCGGGGGTGTTGCAGCTACCCCTGTCAATATGATGATATGGCAAAGATGGGGGTCTGGGTATTTACCGTGCATTTTTTTGCACCGCGCAACATGCCACAACAGCAGCTCAACAGCGACAACAACCACAAAGGAGCTCGTTGTTGCCTTTGGTAATTTGCACTGCCGCATGCTCACATATATTTATATACACATCTATACATATATCCATTCAAACGAACTTGTTTGATTTGCGAGGGCAGAAAAAATACAGCAAGAGAAACAAATGGCTTTAAGCAAACAAATATTCGATACATATTTCAAAGAGCAGTAGTCCCATATGCTGCCACTCAGTGGCTCGTAATGAACCGCTAACTCGATTCAGACCAGGATTCCCAAGCATTCACACTACAAATTTTCCTTAGTTTTAATAAAACTAAACTCTTTTCAAAATAGCAGTTAAGGCGGGCAATTGAATTTGAATTTCCGTTTCGTTCCGCAGTCACTGGTCAACACTGGATGGGAATTCTTCAGTTTATCAACACTTGATTAGGAAAAGGATAAAAATTACTTTACTTAGTTTTGTGAGTTTATTTATTCTTCACATTTCTTTTATATTCTTGTTAACCTTTAAAGATTTGTCATTAAAGTTCAGTTTTATTTTTCTAAATCCAACAGCGCCACCTGGACGAAATTGCTAAACTATTCTATCGCCATCTGTTGTGTATAATACCAGCAGGATCAAGAGTTTATGGCAGGATTTATGGAAAACTGCTGACAAAAGGTTGCAGCATCGACTTAAAACTATAATAAAGCTAAACAGGTCACACTATTTATTATTTATTTCTTACTTATTAGCTAGAAAATACTAAAAACTAATTAGGTATACAATTCAACTTTAAAATAATATGGTTTTATGCAATAAAAATATATTTTTAAGAAAGAAAAACTTGAATTAAAAATAATACATGAAACTAAACATGTAATACTAAGGTTGTGAATTTATGTTAACATTATATATAGCTTTGTCACGCCCCCGGCATATCGCTTAAAATACTTTGAAAGCTTTTGGAAGATTACTTCTGTATAAATATAATACATACAAAATCATATATTTAATTTAAAAATTTATTCAATTTAATTCAATAGGTCCTAAAATCTCAACCTTAACCTTTTATTAGCCTTTTAAATATTCAATGTTCAAATGCTTATATGATGTAAAAATCAAAGATTTCTTCAAGCTATAAAAAAATCGATGCCCCTAAAAAAATCCATATTTATTTTGCAGTAACATTTGGTTTATTGATAGACAATTCGGCTTTTTGCTCAACTACATACAAACGACGTGAGAAGCTTTTCATTTAACAACAATAAACATGTATGGAAATATGCATTTATATTGTCCCAACGTTGCTGGTAGCTTTTGGAAACACAAAAAAAAAAAAAAAAAAATATTGCGCCCGGGCGGGGGAGGAGCCTTTTCAGTTACGTAACGGTGACCTCTACTGTGCGTGGTGTGTGTCCCCCCGCCTTGGGCGATGTGGCTCAGGTCCTGCGGCTGCGGCGCTTAGTCCTTGCTCTGCATGTACTTGATCAGGTCGATGACGCGGTTGGAGTAGCCGAACTCGTTGTCGTACCAGGAGATCAGCTTGACGAACTTGTCGTTCAGCGAAATGCCAGCCTTGGCGTCGAACACCGACGAGTGGGTGTCGCTGAGGAAGTCGGTGGAGACGACCTCCTCGTCGGTGTAGCCGAGGATTCCCTGCAGGGGGCCATTGGCAGCCTCCTGGACCTTGGCCTTGATCTCGTCGTAGGTGGCGCCCTTGCCCAGGCGCACGGTCAAATCGACGACGGACACGTTGGCGGTGGGCACGCGGAAGGCCATGCCGGTCAGCTTGCCGTTGAGGGCCGGGATGACCTTGCCGACGGCCTTGGCGGCGCCGGTGGAGGCCGGAATGATGTTCTGGGCGGCGCCACGGCCGTCGCGCCACAGCTTGCCGGAGGGGCCATCGACGGTCTTCTGTGTGGCAGTGGTGGCATGAACGGTGGTCATCAGGCCCTCCACGATCTCGAAGTTGTCATCAATGACCTTGGCCAGGGGGGCCAGGCAGTTGGTTGTGCACGAGGCATTGGACACCACCTTCATGTCGGGGCTGTAGGCCTCCAGGTTGACGCCGCACACGAACATGGGGGCATCGGCCGAGGGGGCCGAGATGACCACCTTCTTGGCACCGCCCTTCAAGTGAGCGGAGGCCTTCTCCGTCGTGGTGAACACTCCAGTGGACTCCACCACGTACTCGGCGCCGGCGCTGGCCCAGTTGATGTTGGCCGGGTCCCGCTCGCTGAACACGGTGATCTTCTGGCCGTTGACCACCAGGAAGCCGCCCTCCGCCGACACGGTGCCCTTGAAGCGGCCGTGGGTGGAGTCGAACTTGAACAGGTAGACCATGTAGCTCACATCGATGAAGGGATCGTTGACGGCCACGACGGTGGCACCCTTGTCGACGGCGGCGCGCAGCACCAGGCGGCCGATGCGGCCAAATCCGTTGATTCCAATCTTCGACATGCTTACTTCCGCTTGGCTCACTTTCACTCTCGTTTGTCCGCTGGCTGGGAAACGACTGATAAGTCGCACGAAAAATTCAGCAAATTCTCGGAAGTAAACTTTTCAATGTCAGATGAAGGACGTGGACGCTTCTCTCAAAGCAACCACCGACATTTATCCAGTTCTGGCACCAGTTTTGGCTTAATGCCATAATTTTTACAGAAAAACATTCCAGCTTTGTGGAAACCATAATCCGATACACAAACCATTCGGGGACTCCCTTTACGACTAAATGATTGAAAACATTGGCGATGAATCGCGATACTTAGCCGATATATTCAGCCGGATAGTAAACGAACTAAACAAAAAACAACTTAATTAAAAAGAATAAACCTTTTGAAAATGTAAACTATTGCGGAAAATTACACAAAAAAGCAAGAAAACTAAGATATTAGAGCTATTAATAACTAATTGCATGTCCGAGCTCCTTTTTTTTACATGTAATGTAAGAAAATATTTTTATGAATTATATTAAATTAAAGCTCAATGCGTGTTCCAAGATGAATCTATTTACAAACTGGAAAACGGTTTGGATGAGTTAATTTAATATTTAATAATTTATTTATGCTCTGTTTCGAATATACCGAATTCTGTATTTTATGACATTTTCAATTGCAAACGCTCAGACCAACAATATTCTGTAAATATTACATTATAATGTTAAATTTTTCTGACAATAAGTCGTATTTCTGTTAATTACAATAGTTTTGAAATTGTTTACATGGGCAAAAGTGATGCTGTGCCACATTGCATTTTCGAGAATTCAGTCGATGATTTCAACGGATTCGTCTAAACGAGTGAAAATATCGTATAAGTTGGTATGGGAGCAGTTATTTATAGGGAGTCCCCTACATGTCATAGGTGCCCACTTTTTAGCAGTGTCTTCAAGCTAGTTGTATCCTTGCCACATACATAAATTTCCTAGATGTATTCGGAGATTGGCATCCAATTTTTTCGATTCTCTGCACGATGAACATGACGCAATGTTTGAAGACTTCTTCCCATTTCCCGACTGCCTTCATAGAGGATATGCCTGTAAATAATGGCTATTGAGTCGAGTCTTGCATTTTATGTAAATAATACATAGTATTTATTGTATTATTCATTTACAACATTTTCCAATTTATACATATTTGACGGGCAGCTGTAACCAGGATGTGAACTCGATCAACAAATTTAATGGACAAATCCCAAAAAGACTGCACCCATCATAATGCATCGGTCTCCCCCTGAAGGAACAATCCACGTAGCACCCAAAGAGTCCTTATGCCTAACGCCTGTGTTGAACAAACTTTGGAGAGGCGTCTTTTAGTTCGCTATCTTGTCCCGGGAATAAAAAAAATAATAAAAAGAATTTTTAAGATATTATAATTAAGAATTAACAAAAGTTTTTACAATTTTTTTTTCCAATTAAAAAATTTAAAATGTTTATTTACGATTTAAGATTCAACTATGTATATAGGGTTTGGGCGAGGAACCCCAAAAGCCCGGCACGTTCCTAGAGAAACACTCCCTTTTGTCGTGTAGAGGGTAAGGGTATACTTGAATAATATATAATATGTAACATACTTGCAAATATATTGATATTTATTTTTATAAATAAATAAACATACCTGCATCGTATGTCTAGTTTCCACTGAAGCCAAATAAAAGTTTTTTGTTACTAGTTTTTTTATTGTTTTGTTTTCGTTATGAAGGGGGAACATTCCATTTAATTCTCTTCTAGAATAATCTCCATCCAGAACTCTAATTCATCACTGTAATATAGCTACAGCTAACTATTACATCGCTCAATTAGTTCGCGTCCCGACATATAAGGAGCAGTAGTAAGCAAAAATAGATATTTTTTATCGAAAGTGTCGATTATCTCTCTGTGTAAAAATTACACAACTCTGTGACCACGTGCTTTTAAGTTAAAAATTTTTAAGTAATACAACCTTTGGGTTTTTCTACAATATGGAAAAAAAGGAGTTTCGTGTCCTGATTAAGCACTGTTTTTTTATAGGAAAAACTACAGTAGAAGCAAAAGCTTGGCTTGATAAACATTACCCAGATTCTTCTCCGGGAAAATCAACCATCAAAGATTGGTACAATGAATTTAAACGTGGTCATGTGGACACCAAAGACGCTGAACGCAGTGGTCGCCCAAAAACAGTTACGCCAGAAAATGTGGCAAAAATCCGAAAAATGGTATTGGCCGATCGCAAATTGAAATTAAAGGAGATAGCTGATGCCTCAAAGATATCGGAAGGCAGTGTGTTTACGATATTACATGAACATTTGGACATGAGAAAGATCTGCTCGAAGTGGGTGCCGCGATTGCTAACACCGGACCAAAAGCAACAGCGCATCGATGCTTCCGAGACGTGTTTAAGCATGTTGAAGCGCAATAGGACCGATTTTTTTCGCCGTTACGTAACCATGGATGAAGCCTTAATAAACCACTACACTCCAGAATCCAGTCGTCAGTCTTCTGAGTGGGTGGTAGCCGGTGAAAGCCGTCCGAAGCATCCCAAAACACAAATATCGGCGGGTAAGGTTATGGCTTCTGTACTTTGGGATGCACATGGGATTTTATTTATAGACTACCTGGAAAAAGGTAAAACAATAAACAGCGAATATTATATAAAACTGCTGGATCGATTGGATCGCGTTATCAAGGAAAAACGTCCACATATGGCCAAGAAGAAACCACTGTTTCACCAGGATAATGCACCATGCCACAAGTCTATGGCAACAATGGTGAAATTGAGTGAATTGAGGTTCGAACTTCTGCCGCACCCACCTTATTCTCCAGATATGGACCCCAGTGACTACTGGCTTTTTTCAGATCTCAAAAAGCACCTCCAAGGCAAGAGATTTCGATCCAATGAGGAGGTGATTGTCGCTACTGAGACCTATTTTGAGGGTAAAAGTTCATCTTTCTACAAAAATGGCATAGAAAGGTTGGAGAAGCGCTGGACTGAGTGTATAGCCGTAGATGGAAACTATATTGATGAATAAAACAAAATTTTCAAAAAAAAAAGTGTTTTTCCTTGTTAGGCCGGGAACTTATTGAGCGGTGTGATATACAGAGTGGTTCCCCGCATTAACTGTTTCAAAAGTATTGTTTCTAAACTGTCACTTCTGTATATCGATTTTGTGCAATTGCGACCAAAATAATCCGCTGGAGACCAACAAAAGACAAATTAAGGAAACACAAAAGCCCGACTCGTTCCTGCACAAAATTGCATCTTATGTCTTGAGGGTAGAGTTGCGACTGAAGCCAAATGCAAGTTTTTTTGTTACTAGATTTAGGTTTTGTTCGTTATGAGGGAGGAACATTCCACTTAATTCTGTTCTAGAATGAACTCTATCCAGAACTATAATTTATCACTGTAATATAGCTGCAGCTGCATGCAGACATACGCCAGGGTTTATTTAGCACTAAGTGTTTCCCTGCCTTAACTTATTCTAAAGTATCACTTCAATGTTTTGTTTATTCTGGCGTAAAGTGGAAATATTTATAAGATTTTAACAGGTTTTGTTTTATAATTAACTTCCTGTAGAATATACGAAGTGGTCCCCGGCATTAACTGTTTCAAAAGTGCTTTTTCTAAAAAGTCAATTATGCGAAAAATCCGCTGGACCTCTAACATAATGCAAGTTTGATTTTATTAAGTTTTCGTCTTTGTTCGTTATGAGGGCAGAACATTCCATCTGATTCTGTTCTTGAATGAGCTCTATTCAGAACTCTAATTTATCACTGTAATATAGCTGCAGCGAACTATACAGAGTGGTCCCCGGCATTAACTGTTTCAAAAGTGTTGTTTCTGAAAATTCAATTATGTATGTGGAAAATCCGCTGGACTCCTAAACATAGCGGAGATGCAGAACACATACAAGCCCAACGCATTCTTTAAGCCTAATGCAAGTTTGATTTTTACTAGTTTTTGTTTTTGTTCGTTATGAGGGCAGAACATTCCATTCTCTAATTTATCACTGTAATATAGCTGCAGCTGGATACAGACATACGCCAGGGTGTATTTAGCACCAAGTGTTTCCCTGCCTTAACTTCTAAAGTATCTCTTCAATATTTTGTTTATTCCGGCGTAAAGTGGAAATATTTATAAGAGATACGCCTGATGAGGCGGGACACTTTAACAAGTTTTGTTTTATAATTAACTTCCTGTAGAATGTACGGAGTGGTCCCCGGCATTAACTGTTTCAAAAGTGCTTTTTCTAAAAAGTCAATTATGCGGAAAATGTCCGACGCATTCTTTAAGCCTAATGAAAGTTTGATTTTATTAAGTTTTCGTCTTTGTTTGCTATGAGGGCAGAACATTCCATCTGATTATGTTCTAGAAGAAACTCTATTCAGAACTCTAATTTATCACTGTAATATAGCTATAACTGGGCATTTTTGCATGGACATACTGCGTACCAAGTTTTTCCCATAACTTTTTCTAAAGTATTACTCCAATATCTTCTTTATTCGGACGTAAAGTGGACATGTTTATGAGAGAAACGTCAGATGGGACTGGACATTCTATCTAGTTTTGTTTTTTAAGGAACTTCCACTTTAAGATGCGGAGTGGTCCCCGGCATTAACTGTTTCAAAATTGTTGTTTTCAAACTGTCAATAGATAAACTATTTCGGGAGGTGCCGGTACGCTGATAAAGAAATAACTTTTGCGAACATGCTCCGGGGAGCCGACATGGCAAATCAACTTTGGTATTTGGCGGAACAACCCTAGTAATTTCAAACAAACTGTATGTGCTGCATGAAGAAAAGCAGTGTATTTTCACCCAGGGGTTCGAACATTATATAATTTTGATTTACCTCTTCTAAGAATTAACACTTAGACTTGAGCATATGCAAATATGAAAAAATACTGCGAATTCATTTGGTTTTGCAACTGAAAATTGGAACCATAATTAAATTTTAATAATTTTTGTTTAAATCTCTGACAATATTTGATTTTTATCTTAATCGGACTTGGCAATGTCACAGTCTCTGTAGAAGAGTGTGTGTGTCGAATGTGTGTGAAATGCGAATGGAGTTCCTAGCCAGACACACACAATTAAAAAAAAACAGAAACTTACTTATTTTATCACAACACTTAAATGGTC